GGGGGGGGGGGGTCTCGCTACCTGCACTGCCGCTTGCTTTCCGGGGGGACAGCAGGGCTCTTGGGCTGGAGGGAGAGGAGAAGGGTTGACGTGGGTGCGGATGGGGGCAGAATTAACCCGGGGTAGCTGCACCCTCATCCCAGCCCAGCCTGGGGGGCAGTTCTTCCCCCCCCGTGGACCACGGGGCTGACCTGTGCAGGGGCCAGCCCCGGGAGTGCCCCTGGGCTGGGCACCTAACGCCCCCCCCGTGCCCCGGGGGCTCTGCTCCAGCCCGGGTTGGGCAGAAACCAGCTCTGCAGCGGCCAGACCTTCTCCAGCACTAACTGCAGCGCTGCGGGGCTCTTGCCCTTGCGGGCTGGTCCCTGCGTGGCAGGTGCGGCCGGGCTGAGCTCTCCTGGGCCAGTCGCCGCTTCACCGCGGCCGAGACCTTTGCACCCTCCGCGTTTATTGCGCGGTTTGCGTTGCGTGGAGCGGGGCCCCCGGCTAACGCAACAGCCAGACCCCGCCCCCGCCCCCCAACTGCGTGCAGCTGGGGTGGCTTGACGAGCCCCGGCTCCATGCTCCGGTAAGGCAGGGCCCTTCCCCCACTGCCAGCTTGGGGGCCTTGGTGGCTTTCCCACCTGGGTGACGCGGCTCCAGCACAGCGGGCACTTGTGCCTCCCTCCCCCCTTGCTCAGCTCCAGGGCCGGCCGTGGCAGGGGGGCTGCCAGCTGGAAGCACTGCCCGGCTAGTCGCCCTCCGGCTTGGCAGGCAAAGGGGCGGGCCAACCTGGGGGGGGGTTGCAGGGGTGCCGGCCTCCAGGGTCACCTTGTGCGCCTCTCGCCCTAGGGCTCCTGCTTCCAGTCCTCGCGGAGGGAGAAGTACGGCAACGTCTTTAAGACGCACTTGCTGGGCCGGCCCCTGATCCGGGTCACCGGGGCGGAGAACGTGCGCAAGATCCTGATGGGCGAGCACCACCTGGTCAGCACGGAGTGGCCCCGCAGCACCCGCATGCTGCTGGGGCCCAACACCGTGGCCAACTCCATCGGGGACATCCACCGGCACAAGAGGAAGGTAAGTGCCTCCCCGCCCCCCGCGGCCGCGCGCCCCAGAGTCTCCCCGTTCCGTCGCTGGAGCGCGGCGGCGCCGAGCGTTGGGTCCGCGAACGGCGGCCCGAGCGTTCCACGCGCCGCGCTGCCGTTCCACGCGCCA